GGGCCTCCAATTGCGGAAGCGGTAATTTACGAACCACGCCAGGGCCTCCTCTAAGAAATTTTCACTGGGGGACCAGAGGCTCAGAAGCCAAGCCTAGGGTACCTCCAAATCCAGTTTTCTCATTGGATTTAGGCCACTTATTTTTCGTCACAGCCCGGATGCCATGATTTTTTTTTTTAAATATTAATAAAGAAAGGGTAGGTCACCTGACCTTACTCATGGATCCAGGCCAGCAGGATGACATTGTATGTAAATATCCCCCGCGTCGACCGAAATCGACGAAAATTTCTGGCTTTTTCACTTTCGACAATAAAACAAATAGCCTTTATTATAAAAAAGAATTTAACGGCACAGCATTGCGCAAGGAATCTAACCGACCCCAGAAAGTGTGAGGGCTAACCCTCGCCCGCACCTGGGGGGAGGGTTGCCACCCCAAGTTAGTTTTTTTTTTACTCTACACTGAACATTTTTTAAGCTAGAAATCTGATTTTTGGATAGCTGCTTTTCTATCTTTTCTCAGCGTCCATTGAAAATTTCAAGTTTCTGTGGCTTTTGGGTTTGGAGATATGATCTTGTTCTTCAGGTCATGTCATGACCTAAATGACGGATACCCAATATCCTGCGTTTGCTATGGGCCTTGTGAGCTTTTGACACCTTGATGTCGTTTTTTTGCCAATCTTACCTCCAACCTATCATTGAACATGTTGTTCTGCCGTCTGCGATGTACAGATGTCAGGGTCAGGGTACATCAGTACATACACAGACATACACAGACATACAAACACATATCATTGACCTTGACCTAACTTGACGTGAAATGACCACAGCCAGCAAATTAGTCGGATAGTGTGACAAAGAGCTGTTCTAGCTGGCTTGGCACCAATACGGCAGCGTCATCGGTATATGATGGGTTGGCCCGCTGCTTGTGTAGGTATTTTATTTGACATCATCACAATTTATTCAAACAAAATTTTAAGCTTCGCAGTCAAGAGCAACATATTTTTTTTTGGGGAAGAGACGAATCCAATGATACCAAATTTTACCTCATCAGGCAGTCATTGACCTTCCAGGTCAGGTCAAACTAAAGAACGTTGCTGTTTGGGGTCACCGTTGCCCTGGAATATCACGTGCGCTGCTCATCATATACCGATGACGCTGCCGTATTGTGGTGCCAAGCCAGCTAGAACCTCTTTGTCACACTATCCGACTAGGTTTTTGCTGGCTGTGGTCATTTCAGGTCAAGTAAGGTCAAGGTCAATGATATGTGTTTGTATGTCTGTGTGTGTCTGTGTGTATACTGATGTGTGCACCGATTATGAATGTGTCCCTATAGCATGAGATCATGAACTGAGAAGCTTTTACCAAATATACAGTCGAAGAAACTTCACGAAAGTAAATTCAGCTCGCCTAAAACGCAAAATTTTTAGATGACCGAGGCTGACCTTGGCCCTGACCCTAGCGTCTCTTCATCATCGAACAACATGTTCCATGATAGGTGGGAGGTAAGACTGGCAAAAAAGGCCGAAATCAAGGTGTCAAAAGCTCATAAGACCCATAGCCAACGCAAGATATTGGGTATTTGTCACTTGGGTTATGACATCACCTGAAGAATAAGGTCATATCTCCGAAACCAAAACCACAGAAACTTGGAATTTTCAATGGACGCTAAGAAAGGATAGAGAAGCAGCTATAGCTATACGAAACATCCGGCTTCTAGCAATCAAAATGTTGAGTGCAGAGCAGAAAAAAACCTGGGGGGGGGGGGTGGCAACCACTGTCCACTGCCCTCCATGTGCGGACGAGGATTAGATAATTTGAATATCAGGAAAACAATTTATTCAAACAGGTATTCCAACAGAGTCCCGCTTTTTTATAGGTGACCTCCGATTTGTGTACCTAGCCTCTAAGTTGCCCAGGGGGCCTCTTATTTGTAGGTACATACAGTACAGAGAGCCTCCTACTTCGACTACTTGCACAGAGAGCCTCCTTTTTGTACATACAGCTAAGCTTCTTCAGGTCGAGCGCCGGCCCCCTATTTGTACGTACAGAGAGCCTCCTACTGTTACAGAGGACCTCCTATTTGTCTAGGGGGCCTCCTATAGGTTAATGGCGCCTCCTATTTGTCCAAGTGGCCTCCTATTCGTCTAGGGGGCCTCATATTTGTCCAGGAGGCCTCCTGTTTGTCCAGAAGATCCCCTATTTATCCAGGGGGCTTCTATTTTCCAGGGGGCCCCTCTTTATCCAGGGGGCCTCCTACGTGTTCAGGGGCCTCCTATTTGTCCAGGGGCCCTCCTATTTATCCAGGGGTCTTCTATTCGACCAGGGGTCTCATAATTGTGCAGGGGCCTCTTATTTGTCCAGAGGTCTCCTACTTGGGCCTCCTTTTTTGAAGGGCCTCCTTTTTGTTAAGAGAGCCTTCTAATTGTTCAGGGGCCTCCTATTCGTACAGAGGGCCTCTAGCTCCTACTTGTCCATGGGGCTCCTATTTGTTCAAGAGGCCCCTTATTTGTACAGGGGGCCTCCTATTTGTCCAGGGGGCCTCCTATTTGTCCAAGCGGCTGTTATTTTCCTAGGGGGCCTCCTATTTGCCCAAGAGCCCTCCTATTTGTCCAGCGGGCCTCCTACTTGTTCAGGGGGCCTCCTATTTGTCCAGGGGGCTTCCTATTGGTTAAAGTAGCCTCCTATTTATCCAGAGGGCTCCTATTTTTAGGGGGCCTCCTCTTTATCCAGGGGGCCTCCTTCTTGTTCAGAGGGCTTCCTATTTATCCAGGGGCCTTCTATTCGTCCAGGGGGCCTCCTATTTGTCCAGGGGGCCTCCTAATTGTCCAGGGGGCCTCCTTTTGTGAAAGGGGCCTCCTTTTGTGAAAGGGGCCTCCTGTTTGTCCAGGGGGCTCCTAATTGGCCAGGGGGCCTCCTTTTGTGAAAGGGGCCTCCTGTTTGTCTAGGTCTAGGGCCTCCTATTTGTCCAGGCCCAGGGGGCCTCCTATTCGTACAGAGGGGGCCTCCTATGTCCAATACTTGTCCATGGGGCCTCCTACTTGTTTAGGGGGCCTCCTACTTGCTCAGGGGGCCTCCTATTTGTCCAGGGAGCCTCCCATTTGTCCAACAGGGCCTCCGAATTGTCCAAGGGCCCTCCTATTTATACAGAGAACCTTCTATATGAACATCGGACCTCCGTTTGTAAAGTAGCTGGTGCGTCTCGGGGGCCTCCACTATTGGGGTCCCAAAATGACAATTGGGGTCCCAAATGTTCGCACTGGGGTCCCACATGGGACCTCGAAAGTATACAAAGTTACACCCATGGGACGCCCGCACATCTTATGGTGCGGACCGCAGGACCCTTCTTCTTCTATATCGATCTATTGTACGATCGAAGCTAGATTACGCTTCTTTTGTCTACGATTCAGCGAGTGAATCTAGCAAGAGGGTCCTGGATACAGTCCATCATGCAGCACTCCGAGTAGCCACCGGAGCATTCCGCACCTCGCCCAGGAGCAGCATTCTTGCTGAGGCGCATGAACCGCCACTTTCACTCCGCCGTCAGATGTTTGGTATGCGGTACGCGCTGAAACTGCGCCAATTTCCTATGCACCCGACGTACCCATACGTTTTTTCACGGCATGCCACCCGATGTAACGGAAGGTTACGACCCTCGTTCGGAGTGCGCATGAAAGAACTGTTTTCAATAGCTGACATAGCATTGCGTAACGTTCGTCGTACCTGGGCTGCGCCCCCTCCACCGTGGAAAAGTGTCAGTCCACAGGTGGATCTTTCGCTTTCTGCAGTTCCAAAGGGCAAGTTGCTGCCTGCAGAGGCACGAGTCCGAGCCTTGGAACACCTTGCCTCTTACGATGGTTTTATTCCTGTATTCACAGACAGCTCTAAAACACCTGAGGGAGCGGGCTGTTCTTTCGTCGCTGGCGACGATACCCGTTCATTTTCGTTGCCATCTTTCGCCTCGGTGTTTTCATCGGAACTTGTTGCCATCGAGAAGGCTTTGTGTTTTATTGAGGTATCGGACGGACCTTTTTACTTGATTTTATCGGACTCCCTAAGCAGCCTGTTGGCCCTGCGGAGTTTTAATCCAGCCGACCCGATCGTTCAAGACATTTTAGCTCGGCTTCAGTCAGTAGAACAATCGGGTAAATCTGTTCAGTTCTGCTGGATTCCCAGTCACGTTGGCGTTCATGGCAATGAGCTGGCAGACGCGGCTGCAAGGCGTGCTGCTGCAGCACCCTGCACTCGTCGGTTGCCATTGCCGGCGCGTGATTTTTACCCTGCTGTACGATCTTTTATTCTAACGGAGTGGCAGGCAGAGTGGCGCCTGCGTGGAGGCAGGAAGCTCCGAGAGGTGAAGCCGACTCTGGAGCATTGGAGGTCTTGCTCGCAAGACAACAGGTCAAACGAAGTGATTTTATGCAGGCTCCGCATCGGTCATACGTATGCGACGCATGGCCACCTTCTCCGCGGAGATGAGCAGCCCGTTTGCGGCGGGTGCGCCGTGCCTCTCACCGTCGCCCACGTGCTTTTATCTTGTCGACGCTTGGAACCGGACCGGACTCGCTACCTGGGCCGCATCGCTCCGGATATCACCGTCCGCCACTTGCTGGGTGACGAGTCACCCTGGGTTTTATCTGGCAACATCTTTTCCTTTATCCGTTCAATCAAATTCCAAGTAATCTACTCGATCTGATACCAAACCAACTAGTCCATACGTCTATTCTTATCTAGTCCTTACGCCTAGTCAGCTGTCTTTTACGATACGCTTGGAGTATTTTACCCTTCTTTGCTCTTTTTAACCAGCTTTTAGGCTTTTTTAAGCCTTTTATTACGTCGGTTTTCTCGTGACACACTTGCTTTACTTGTATATAGTTATGGGCGCAAAATGACCTTGTAGTCGGCGCGCCCTTAAGCCCCAATAAACAACAACAACCTTTATCACCATCTGATCTCTCTCGCTTTCATTTGATGATCGTTGCATCCCTTTCCCTCGCCCCCAGACCCAGGCAGAGTTGAGGGAGGCCACTCGATCACTCTCTGATGTTAAAGATCGTCTAGCGCGATCTCAAAGAGAGCGAGAAGAGGAAACGAAAAACTACACCGAAATGCTGCGGTGAGATGTCAGACATACAAACTCCAGCATCCACGTAATGACGGTGCGATCGATCGTGCCTGATATGTACGTTTGATTTTTGTGAAAATTAATGTAGATGCTAGATATGAATGCATAGGTACCTGATTTTGTGGTGATTATTCAGATGCTGACTGCTGTATAATTATGACGACAAGTTCGTAATAGCAGTTTTGTCTTGTGTCACGACTCGCACTCGTTCAACTACTTTCACTCATGTCTGCGCTATCTTTGCTGCTGTTGACCTGATCACCCCTCTGCCTCCTCTCTCCCTCTGCAGGGAGTCCCAGGAGGTGCTCTGTCGGGAGCGCGAGCTAGCTCGTCAGACTGAGCTCCGTGCTGCCGATCTGGAGGCCGAACTCAACCAGCGTCACGCAGCGGACACGCGTACTCTAGAGATGACGGAAAACGCCGACAGATGGCAGGCTAGGGTCGCCGAACTAGAACAGGTTCGTCCGTGTACGTGGTAACGTGGTTGTCCCATGGATGAAGTATTCCTGGATAGAACACTCCCTATTACCCAATGCTAGCGCTGGCGACCAAGCGGCCCGCGGCCGCCCGGGTGGCGGAGTGCCGAAACATCGATGGCGAGTGCACCGACGTGGCCCGTCTCCTGGTTCTGCTCGCCGTAGTGCGGGTACTAACCGTTGTGGCCTGCCCGGCACCAGCGCCGCCACCCAGGTCTACACTTCGAGTGGCGGATCACCAGCTCAGGCACCATCTCACCAAAAGAAAACCTGCTTTACCACGGAACTTTTCTCGGATTTCATCGAGCTCTACTAGTGATTCGGCCCCAGCTCTAGCCACCCAACGGCTGCCGGCATTCAAATCTTCCCGAGCCCCAGGGACGACGGACCGCGCCCCCGCGCCGCGCGCAGAGCCCCACGGACGCCAGCCGGCGGCCGTGTCACCTCACCCTCCCCTCCAGCTGAGAGCCCCGCCGGCCCGCGGGGGTGGGGAGCGGCCGCTCGCGCTGCCCGCGTCCCACGGCGCGCCGCCGGCAGCCCAGGCCCCGCCCACCAGCGTCTTCCCGCGCCCCAAGCCGGCCCGCAGCGGCGGACGCCGTCCACAACGCCGCGGCGCCCGCGGTGGCCGCGGCAGGGGCAGGAGCCGACCGGAAACGACAGAAAACCACCATCGGAATCTTCGTATCGGAAGCTTGAATATTCAAAGCCTTAAGCCTAAACTATTGGACCTGACCTATGAACTCCGCCAAAACAATTACGATGTCGTATTACTGTCGGAGACCTGGCTACGCCCTTCTACGCCAAACAGACTCTTAGTGCTCCCAGGCTACTCCCTCAGCCGCACAGACCGACCTGATGGCCGCGGGTACGGCGGCGTCGCGATCGTAACAAAATCGGATATCACATCAGTGCCCATCAAGTTCCCAAGTTTTGAGCGCGGCTGCAGCCAGCTCGAGTCAAAGTGGGCGCTGCTCAAGCTCGACAAAGGTCGTCAACTCATCGTATGTTCTTTATATCGCCCCCCTCGCCACTCCGAAACCGCTTTATGTGCCGATTTCGCCGACCTTGAAAATCAGTTACAAAGAGTACTTATCGATCACCCTAGGACCCCGCTCGTCATCTGCGGTGATATAAACTGTGACCTGCTGAAGAAAGAACCCAACTTTCGTGCACGACAGCATCTCAGCAGCTTCCTATCGGACTACTCCCTAGACCAGCTAGTAACAACTTCGACTTTCACTTCCGGTTCGCTCCTTGACGTGTGTATGGTGAACAAAGTGGACCTCTTCTCTAACACCCGTGTTGAGTTTTGTCATTTTAGTCCGCATAAATTTATTAGCGTAGATGTCAACGTCCCCAAACTGCGTCCGAAGCCTACAATCATCTCAGCTCGTTCGCTCAACCGCGTTGATGTCACTGCCCTTAATTCTGATCTGGAGCTTGTCGACTGGGAGCCTGTGTTTACCGCCGCGACTGTTAGTGATCAGTGGGATGCATTCGTGTCCAATTTTTTGCCTATAATCGACGACCACGCCCCACTCAAGCGTATTACCATTCGGAACCCCACAGCGCCCCCGGCCTCTGCTGCCACACGGAACCTTATGGCCCAGCGCCGCGCCTCGCTACGACTGTCCGGTCGTCAGTCGACAGCTTACAAGGAGCTGAATCGCTCTGTTCGGGCCGCGCTGCGTCGCGACCGGCGAGAGGAGCTACAGAGAAATATCTGCGAGCGGGGCCCCAATAAGGTCTGGCAGTCTATCAGGACAGTTGTAGCAGGGAAAAAGGACGGTCCTAGTGTGCAGCCAAATTTACCCGCCGATGAACTGAACTCATTTTTCGTCTCTGTCGGACCTCGCATCGCTGCGGAGGTCCGGTCTCTTAACACCGCTACCGATCTGAACGTTCGCCTCCCCCGGGTCGGTGCATGTCGTTTTCAGCTCCGCGCGGTCACTCTCGGCGAACTTGGTCACACTATCTTTGGCATACGCAACTCAGGCGCCAGTGGGACTGATGGCATTTGCATCCGAATGTTAAAGTCCGGCTTCTCAGCTATCGGTCGCGTCATACTTTACATTATCAATACGTGTATTACCAACTCCGATATCCCCGATTCCTGGAAACATTCCACAGTCCACCCCATCTTCAAATCAGGCAGCCCCTCGGATCCCACCAACTTTCGACCAATCTCATTAGTCCCCGTGATTATGAAGGTTGTGGAACGCCTCGTACATCAACAGCTTTACCACTACCTCTCAAATAACTATCTCCTTGCCTCCTCGCAGCATGGTTTTCGCCCCCGACACTCCACAGAGACCGCTCTGCTGTCCGTCACAGACCAAATCCTCGCAGCCTCTGATAGGGGAGAACTTTCACTGCTGTGTCTCCTCGACTTAAGCAAATGCTTTGATGTCATCGACCACGAACTTTTACTTCAAAAACTGGCCATGCACGGGATTGAGACCTCTTGGTTTTCTGCTTTTCTCACGGGACACACCCAGAGCGTGTCCCTATCTAATGGCGCCGGAGGTAGAGTACTGTCTCGGCCGCTTCCAAATAATATGGGTGTCTTCCAAGGATCTGCCCTGGGACCGTTACTCTTCACCATATTTTCGAACAACCTCTCGCTATACGCAGGTGACGCCACCGTTTTCCAATATGCGGACGACACCCAAGTTCTAGTGAGCGGCCGTGCCGACGACCTCAGATCGCTTATCTCTCGCATGGAAGCTTCACTCGCATCAATCAGTGACTGGTTCTGTCTTCACGCCCTCAAGCTAAACGCAAACAAAACACAACTCATGGTTTTTGGCAGCAGACCAAATTTACGGAAGGTACCCGACTTCAGCGTCTCTCTTCGTGACTCTGTGTTGCAGCCAAGCGAGCAGGTGGGGAATCTGGGTGTTGTCTTTGACAGCGCCCTGTCCTGGGAAGCACATGTGTCCGAGCTTAGTCGTCGGTGTACTGGCTTGTTGATCGGACTGTCTCACGCACGAAATTGTCTCCCTGACGGTGTCATTAAAGTTCTCGTGACATCTCTGGTCATATCACGAATCAACTACTGCCTCACTGTGTACGGTAACGGGACTCAGAAAATTTTGACCGACTCCAGAAAATTTTGAACTTTGCCGCTAGAGTGATCTTCGGACGGCGTAAGTTTGACCACGTCTCGGACCTGCGCGACAGACTTGGCTGGCTATCACCAAAATCCATGTCAGATTACCTGACACTCACGATCGCGCAAAAGGTCATTAAGCATGAAGAGCCCGAGAACCTCGCTGCACTGTTCGTCCCTAATCAAAATTTTCGAGACAGGCACACACGGCAGGATCATCTCCTTCATCTTCCCCGACCGAGGCTTGAAACCGGAAAACGGCGTTTTGAGTACCGCGCCGCGGCGCTGTTAAATAGCCTCCCACCCCAGGTAGTGCAGCTGCCACCTGCCAGCTTCGCCCGGTCTGCCAGGGCCGCGCTGACTAACAAATCCCCGCTACGCCGCTGACGAGTCTGTTTAGTAGTAGACGAGGCATGCCGCCAATAGGTGGACGATCTGTTTGTGCTTATGTATATATATATATTGTTTGTCTTATGTACTATTGAGCGCAGAATCCGCGCTCATACCGGGACCGAAGCGGGACAGGTCTGGTGTATCAGAGAGTGTACCGATAGTGCGCTGCGGAACAGTATCCCATCCAGGCGGCTGCTGTCTGGTGAACTTGGGTCACCCGCCGCACGGAAGGCAGCCGCCCCGGCCTCCCTCCCCGCGAGTGGGGGAGGGAGCCGGGGAAGGGGAGCGATTCATGCAGTCGCAGCCCGCGCGGAGTTAGTGCGGCAGTGTGTACTGTGTATATTGGGATGATTTCTCAAGCAAAGTTTTGGGCTTGCTTGAAGTCCACTGATCACGGTGGCTGTTAGCGGGGAGCGGGCCCGGGGGGTGTCAGCAGATAGCTGTTCCCCTACACAGGCAGGCCACAGACATGTTGAAACGGTGTATTACTGTAATATGGCCGACCAGCCGGGGAAAGACCCCTTTCTGTAGGAATAAGATTAAAGAGGATTCTGTGTTTTAAGGTGTGCCGTTACGTAGTTTCGGATCGTCCTTAAATTCCTCGCCCTCTTTGCTCTCACCGCAACGTTTTATAGAAAAACTCCTGATGGTTTTGGCCTTGCTCCTTGCTCTTAACCTTGCTCTTCCAGACCATGAGCACACTTTTTATTAACTATAAATGGAAGTTTGCCATGTTTCTCAAAAATGTTCAAGGTTAAAAAAAAAATCCGTTCCTATCAAATAAGTACCGGAAGCACAAATCTCACCGGAAGTCTGAGCCGAACTATAAGCGAAAATGGCACAACTTCCCTATGGCCACCGCCATTCTGTCTGAACTAGACTTTTTGTTTCTTCAAACTATATGGTAACATAACGTCAATGTGACATAACAATTCACATTTATTGGGCATGCGTCACGAATGCGTGCCCCTCGGTCTTACCGTTATGAAAGTTGCCCGAATCGGCGCTTAAGAACTTTGCAATTTAAAAATTTGACCCTCGCCCGTGGACGGCATTTCGCCATCCTTTCCAGTGGAGGGGGGGGGGGGTACGACCCCTTCTGCCGTTTTGAAACGCGTCGTCGTAGAGCTTAGCGGAAAAACAGCGTATTGCTCTCGACGAGAGCTCGCGATTGCGGCTGCGCATATTACTTTTGACCATAGTCAATATTTGACCTAGGTTTGGCAGGTTAAAGATCAAAGTTTGGGAAAATCGGCATTTTTAACTTTGCGCGCCTGTAGCGTCGCCGCTATGGCAGATATCGTCATGGAATTTTCACTATCGTATTTCTGGATGAATTTGGTGCATTTTGGTGTATAGTTTGTCACATTTTACGCGATAACTTCCGGGGCAGAGCGCCCGGAAGCCGGCGGGGTCGCGTTCGCGCCCCGGGTGGTCGAAAATGCCGTCTGACAGTTGGGGTCGAAAATGTAATCTA